GACGGCTCCGTTCTAAGTTAGGGTAACCTGGCAGCCTCTCGCACTTTCTCCGGGTGACATGGTAACTAGGGGCCGAAGGAGTGTTACAGCTGAACCATTATTTTTATTTATTCCTGCACCGAATTCACCGCATGGCGGGGTGGGGGGCAGGTTGTGTGCAAGAATTGGTCCCGCTCTGATCCTCTCTAAACAAAACGAGGCCTAAGATTCCAGCTTCTCACGGAAGCCATATTCAATTCAAGTCGCGTCTCGTTCGCTCTCATTTAGATCTGAGTCAGGACCCTGTCTGTGGGTTTTATAGTTGGTAATGTGTTGAAATACTGGTAGCTCGGATGCGTTTGTCGGTTGTTGGTCAGGTGGCTGTTGATCTGTTCGCCGAGCTTGGCAATAGGCTTGTGGTATCATTAGGCCGAGGCGTTGGACAAACCACACATACGGCTCACTTCCTGGATGTGTCAGCATAAAAGCGACACCACACTGGCATACCCGAAGGTTGGAATCCAACATTACTGGCACCGTTAACGAGTTCTAGTGGAGATGAAACCAGAGGAGTTGAGCGGCTACTGCCCAATGTAGACGAACTAGACTAACCACGTACAGAAAGAGGTAAGTCTGCTTAAGTGTAGGCGACTCGGATAAATTGACTTGCAAACTTTTCGTCACCATACGAGGAGACATCATCAGTGCGCAGTTGGGTGGGTTTTTCTTCCTTGCCTGAGTGCGTTTATATGGCAAGCTACCAAATAGAAGGCGTTGGGATAACCAATCAGCACAAAGGAACGCAGACCACAACGCAACAAAGATCACAAACGGACCAATAGATTCACCAAATTTGTTGCGCTTCAAGTAGCCAATCACGTCAGAAGATAACAGATTGCCTTCGAATGCTATATAAACGCACGCAGGCAAGGAAGAAGTACCCACCGAACTGCGCACAGATGATGTCTCCTCGTATGGTGATGAAAGGTTTGTATGCCAATTGCCAAGTTCGGCGAACAGATCAACAGCCACTTGATCAACAACCAGTAATCTCACCCGAGCTACTAATATTTCAGCACATTACCGACGCCGATAAAGATTCAACAAACCCCAAGGCAACACCCAAGAAATTCCAGTTCAAAAGCCAAAACAGACAAAACGAGAGAAACTAAGGATGCACTCACACACGCTGCAGATAGATGTACACCCATCAACTTACAACGCAGTTCCGACGAGTCCTGGGCGGTGGAAAATGGCCTTTGTGGTTACGACGATAGTAGAACCAAACCGGTTTTCCCCAGTAAGTATTTAGATAAACTAAAAAAAGGAGAATGATGCACAGATAAAAACGACGCCGCCATGTACCTTCGGAATTCATGTAATCCAAACTTGTAGACAAGTCTACCGGTGCGTACAACTTCCCCTGGTAGTTCTTTCGTAAACTCGGCTGGGACTGTTTATCCACGGTGGGACTGCTTTCAACGTCAGCTGAATCGATCTCGCCCTCTGCGGCAGATGATGATTTGGTCGGTCCGCTGGATAACCTGATTGTGGATGTTAGTATAGTTGGGACACAAGACGTGATTTTGTGTGGCTTTATTTGCGATGTCCATATAGCGCAAGAAGTGTTGACCGACTAAACGAAGACAAAGGAAAAGTAGGGTGCCAAGTCAGATAAATGAAGCGTTAACAGCGTTAACTTAAAATGTTCCAAGTTCTTGGGTGAGAACAAAATGGTTGTATGGGTTCTTCCGTGCTCAGAAAGGGTGTTATCTGCATGCATGAGGTCTTATATTCCCATCTAAGTTCGTCAGGTACCACTTACATGACACTAGCTACATACATACATCATGGCGGACAGCATAACATCAGTGTTCAGCACGGTCAGTGTATGGGTTTGTTAGGCAGGCTCAGACCGAGAACTAAGCTGAGGAAAATACCGTTATTACAGAGTTACAGCATACAACTTGTCCCGGTTTGGTGACTAGTAACCTGCGTGCAGGGTCCGTAGTCAGTTCAACCAACATCGGAGAATGGATAGGAAGGGTGCAAGTGAAGCAATGTGGAGAACTCGTGTGACAATACAGGTGCTAACAACTCACCTTCAGCGCCAAAGGACGCAGTATCAAGGGTGAAGTGACAATCCGAAACATGTTGATGCACTGTACTTAAGTAGCAGATGGAGTTAATCGATCATAGCCTGATAAGAGACGACTGAAATGTAGAGAACGGGATAGAGCCTGAAGCTTTTAACCGGACAAATAGTGGTGAAAAACGGTACTGTATCTCAAACAAGCGTATCCTACCTTCGTCGACGAGTGCAACTACCTGGTGTTACGAATAAATTCAAATATGTGGTTGGTGCACAACTGCCGAACCATCTACAGTGCTTCTTTTACTTTACGGGAGTTCACTAATCACAATCAACAGACTCTCCAGACAGCTATTTCAATCTCGTCAAAATCAGAACCCGAGAAAATATGGTTCAGGTACAGATAGATCTCGCAGTGTATGAAACAACCGAACCGCGGTTTGCAACCACGTGATTCAAGTTGGCAGTTTCAACCAGCGAGAACAAGTGAAGGATAATGTGGCACTCTGAAAACCGAAATACAAAATTCTCGACGTATTTTCTCGTAAATTATATCTGGCAGGAATCAGACGGCACACATCTTACACTGACGTAACGAAGTTTCGGTTGCGTAGTGTTATTTTGAACCGCATCGTAAGGATCTAGCGAAGTATTTGGCCTTCCTTCATTACGAAAGTCCCTAATTTGGTGTGACGATTCGCGCACCTCCATAAGCCACTCAGCTATACTGGCAAATGTACGTGTGACACTCGCAGAACCCCTCATACAAGGAAAATCGTACAGCAGTGCAAATTTGTCATGCCACGCGAAGAGAGCACGAGAGCTGAGATACAGCCTGGTTGCCCAGGCCTAGATGGAAGCAGTCGAAATACCGGGGTTGGGTTCGAACCACGGACACTCCGGCCAGTAGTTTCGCATTAACCAAGGAGCTATCTAGAGCTCCTAATCTTCCAAATTTGGAACTGGTGACTTTCTCCTTGAAAATATAGGTAGCTCTGGCAGTTTAACGTCAATCAGCGCCGACGCGCGGTTAAGCCTTTCAGTCAAGGGCTTTGGTTGAAGACCCTAAACGTTCTGCTGTTTAGGTGTGGGCACCCTAGCAATATCCCCGCCCACGTACAACCATGAAATGTACGCTTACAAATAATCTCGCGCCACACCAGCCGTCGCTTGGTGTCATTAGCCAGTTCACCTCACCTGCGGCATGCGTCACGGTAGGGAAGTGAAAACAGACTACCGCTGACGTCCCCCGTTCCTTAACACATCTGGTCTCCACCTCCTAACCCTGTTGCCAGCGGCATTTCCGCAGGCCCATTCTTAAGAACTGGCAGATCTACTCGCCACCCATTACCGTTAGCTGCAACGTCTACAGCTGACTCGGTCGGCACAGTCGCACACGTTTCGGAATCACCCCTTATTCAACCTGGCAGCTTGAAACAAGCCAGACAATAGACTGCTCTAGAACGTGCGCTGGACACTCTCTGGGGATCCAGGACCCAAGTATGGTTGCTGAACTGATCCCCTTATACCTTTCCTCTCGCTTCCAGTTGTCAGTCAAACCAATCAACTTGCGAGCTGCAAACCGGATGTCACAGGCACAATGGTTCTAGCTGCTACACTCTCGATCAGCAAAAAGTGGGAGAGTGTGGGACATACAGCCGAGTCTTGGAGGCGATGGCATATTCGGTAAGTTCGATAACTGGGTAGCCAAGCATTGAAGGCGATAGATTTGATGCACGAGCACCACCGACTGCGCGATGGGGCCATTTCTGCCAGTGTCGCTACCGTTGGTGAGTTAAGTCCAGGGGCCCCCATCCAAGGAGGCAGCAGTTGTCGACCCGACTGATTATTGTTTACATACTTCACCTCCAGGGTAGCGAAGCATTGAAGGCGGTAGATTTGATGCACGAGCACCACCGACTGCGCGATGGGGCCATTTCTGCCAGTGTCGCTACCGTTGGTGAGTTAAGTCCAGGGGCCCCCATCCAAGGAGGCATGTCGTGTCGACCCGACTGATTATTGTTTACATACTTCACCTCCAGGTCACACAATGTCCACCTCTCGGTCGCTTCTGTTCAGTACAGGGCTGGGCTGGGTTGTACACGTCTAGTGATCCAGAAACGGCTGTGGCTGCTTTTGTTGGGGTCGACACTATTCTGAACCATCGAGATGAAGGGTTTCTTTTTCAACGCTCACCGTTGATAGCTGCCTCTGTGATTCGTTTAGGAACGCCTGTGAGAGCGTTAAGTAAACGTACCGATAATCGCTAATTGTTCATCGCATCTGCTTATGCCCAAACAAACTGTAGCTCCGTACACCTGGTCTATAGGACAACTTGAGTGCCTTCTGGGGGTGGGCCAAGAGCTCATATATTGCTGTGGTTGCAGGAGATATGAATGCGCAAGTAGACTTGGCGCTGTTGAGGCTCAATCAGTGTTTCTGTGCAGCACTTACTTCCAAAATATTAAAAGACGCGTGGCCACACGATGACCCCCTCCGCATGCGGGCCAACCTCCAGCTGAGATAGATCACACCGCCAACAGCTATAGGTGGCATAGGTGGATTGCTGATTGTCGATAAAACACCTATGCTGATTCAGACCACGCACTTGTTCGTTGTTGCTTCTTGTTGTGCTTTCCAGGGGGCGCAAGAACTGAACGCACCTCACCTGGTCACCAAAAGACACTCGGATCGTTGTGTAAGTCACCTACTGAACTCCCTTCCGGATAGATTTTGACACTTACTGGAAAGTGCTGTCTGGAAATTCGCGAGATGGTGGGTGCTGTGTTTATGGAAAACAACAACCAACTAGACCCGAGTACTGGATTTTGAACAAAACTGAGAAATTGCCCGAAGCTCAGACACTCATTTCTCCCAGTCCAGAGTACTATCCCACAGGACCAACTGTCAGACTCTAGGTGAAAAACACCATCGAAAAACTTGGTGAGTTCAAAAAGCTGGAGGAATGAAGGAGTCGAGAAAATGTAGGAATGTGATTCGAACCGTTCCAGTTGGTATGAGCTCAACAGACCCAAGGAGGCGAAACAATCACCGATAAACATTACTTGTCTATCTCCAAAAAGGAACGTCTGAAACGTTGAGTCGAACACATTAACAATTTAACTGGCCACTTGCCGGTGTACCTTATGCACCCTCCTGACCAGTACCGACAAACAAAATAACACTTTGCTAAATCCATGAGATCCTCTCTACATAGGACGTCCAAAAGTCAAGTCGAATTGGCGAAGAGGAAACGCTTGTCTAGACCTGATACTCCCATACAATTGATGTGCACGACGAAGGAGGGTGGTTCATTCAGTTGTATGCTGATCATCAACGGTTTCTGGCTAGACAGATTTTCAACACAAACGTTCGCATCGCGTAATCAGGCAACAACCAACTGCAAGTCAACCGTAGGCGCAACTGAATTGCGTGGCTATGCTATCAACCACCAATGCAGAGCCACAATTCAAGATCGCCGCGCATTCTGGGACAAACAACTTGATTCCAAACACGCCTGAGCGCGGGCAAATATGAAAGTTCGCGTTCCTTATGGTATTCACAAGTTAAGAAAAAAGTTACTAATTCACCATCTTCGGGGAACTACCATAGTTTAGCTCTCTATGGTAAACGAGTACTCTGCTGATCAAAGGACGCCCTTCAATGCGGAGTTATTTACTGACCGATAAGAGCTAAGCGATCACACGATATTACAGACGAATGTGAAAATTAAATTCACTCAGTCTTTGAAGCGCGAACAATCTCAAGTGTCTTCTTAAAATTTACTGGATGTTCTTTTACTCAGTAAATCGATCAATGTATCAGCTATAAACCGTGTGCCATAGGTATATTGGTTCCAGCTGCTACAGCTTCGATCACCGGAAACGGGAAAGTGGAATATACGACCAAACCTTGGAGGCAGAGGCGTATTCAGTTCGCTCGGGTAGCTACGCACTGAAGGCAATAGCTTTGATGCACGAGCGCCACTGACTGCGCGATTGGGCGGTTTCCGCTAGTGTCATTAACCACTGGTGATTTGAGTCCCGGGGTCCCCATCCAGGGAGGCGGCAGTTGCCCACCCGACCAAGTTTAATGTGTCTTTATACTTCTTTGACAGGTCATACACTGTCTACCTCTTGGATGCTTCCACTCAACACAGGGCTGGGCGAGACAAGCTGTGTGAGGCAGACGGCATTCTGGCATCCGGAGTACATGTCCTAACCAGGGTCACCATCATCTTCATCGACAGCATGATATCCGTATTTAACACGGATGATCCGCTGCCGTACAACCATGATTTAATTGAAAGCCTTACAGTGAAGAAAAGAATGAAGGCAAATGGGGAGGGAACTTAGTGCTAGCTTACTACAATCAATCCGAGGTGCCTATACCTTCAAACACTCATTCAGACAATCTGGATGGAAACTGACAAAAAGAATGCCACTGACATCGATTGACGGCCATAACTTGCAGCGTCTTCAACCAGGCGCAGTGGGGATCACGCGTTTTCCATTC